GGCATTCCCCCCAGCACAGAACCCACCCCGCAGCAGCAGCTGATGGGACTGGGGGTGAGGGATGTGATGGGAAGGGACTGGGACGAGGCGGGAGGGACGGGAGCAGTCTGGAGGAGCGGGGATCTGCCGAGCAGCTGCTGTGTCTGCCCAGGAATAACGCTGCCTTTGTGCTGCAGGCTCGGACGGAGCAGCGTCCAGTTACCAAGTCAAGCAGCTGGAGGAGCAGAACGCGAGGCTCAAGGAAGCGCTTGTGAGGTAGGAGACCACCGGGGCTCCCCTGGGGCTGGGACGCTGCTGGGAAGCTCCTCCCTGCGGCTTCTCCTGCCCTCGGAGCCCCCGAGAAGATTGTGGGCTTTTTCCCAGTACATCTCCGGAGCAGCCGGTGCAACGCCCGCCAGCCGCTCCGGGGCTGTTCTGAGCTCCGGTGCCTCTGTAAGTGAGGAGGGAGAATGTCTTGTCCCTGGGGACCGATGCAGATGGGCAGAAAAGGAGCTGCTTCGGGAAGCTGCAGTGTTCCATTTCGCCGTGTGTGCAGTGCTCTGCTCTCGGCACCGCCGCGGGTTTATCCCAGCAGGTCCTCCGGACGGGTCCTGCTCAGCACAGGGACCCAGTCAGTGCCTTTCCCTGGGCAAGCCCCTCTCCAGGGCTGTGGGCTTTGGGGATTTTCCTTCTGCAAACCCCCTCCTTTAGCCTGGAGGTTCGGGGTGTCCTTGCAGTGACCGCAGCCCTGCTGGCTGGCCCACCCCTCCTCTGTGTGGTTGACCTCCATGCGCAGGGGCTGCAGTGCCTCTGAGGAGGTAGAGGAGGGGGAAGAATCCCCTCCTGGTAGGAAACACAAGAAGTTGCCTTGCCAGGACTTCCAAACCAGTGCGTGTTTGGGGTGGGGGGTACAAAGGGGGCCCGAGGAGCTCCCAGCCCCCACGCTCCCCAGGCAGAGCTGCTCCGGGGCTGTTCCCACGGGGCCTCGATGCACACGTCAGCTAAGCTCTGCTCTCCACACGTCTGTGCATTGTCTTCTTCTGTGCTGACCTTCTCTCTTACACTGTCTAGGGCTGTGAATAGGACTTTTTTTATTTTTTCTTTGCTCACAGCGTTCTTCCTTTCTGTGCTGGAGCCTGTCCCATCTCCAGCGATTCTCTCCTGTCTCTGTTGTCTGTTTTTCTCCATTCTCCTCCTCTCTTCTGTCCATCCCTCACTGCTCTGATTCCTTCAAAGGAAGGTGCCAGCCCGGGCACCGATTCACCCGTCCCTCTCTGTAGAGGAGCTGTTCTCGGGGGACACCGCCGGGGTCTGGGGGAGCTCTGCTCACCCTGTGACGGGCAGCACCGGCCCGGGTGGGGGGCTCAGCTCTGCTGGTGCCCCCTGGGAGCGGTGTCTGGGGAGGGGATGGTTTCTCCAGCTCTGGCTGGGCTTGTGACCCCTCTGATCGCTCTCCCGAAGGATGCGGGACTTGTCGGCATCGGAGAAGCAGGAACACGTGAAGCTCCAGAAGCAAATGGAGAAGAAAAACACGGAGCTGGAGTCCCTGCGGCAGCAGAGGGAGAAGCTGCAGGAGGAGGTGAAGCAGGCGGAGAAAACGGTCGATGAGCTGAAGGAGCAGGTGAGTCCGTGGGGGAAGGACAGGCGGGGGGAGATGGTTGGGGACGTTTGGGACGTTGAGCAGCTGCTGTCGGGCGAGCTCGGGCCAGCTGAGTGCTTTGCCAGCCACTCGGGGAGAGCTGGTGGGTGATCCCACTGCAGGGACTGATCCTGCTGGGTCCCTGTTATGGTTTGACCCTGGGTGGCAGCAAAACACCCCAACAGCCGCTCGCTCATCCTCCCCCCTCCTGGGGATGTGGGAGAGAATTAAAGGGGTGAAGGGAAAAGAGACTCGTGGGGTGAGATAAAAACAATTTAATAACTGAACAATAAAGTTGAAAATAATAATGATAATGGTAGTATATACAAATATACAAATGAGTGACACAGAGTGACACTGCTCACCACCCAGTGATCAAGGCTCAGCCTGTTCCCAGCTAATGATCCCAGAGCAGGGAGAGTCCCGAAACTGCAATCCTGGAAAGGAGATAAGAGCCCGAGTGTCTGAGACTGAGAGTGGACAGAGGGAGTGAGATGACTCTGAGAGAGAGGGCAAACTTCTGGAGAGATCTTCACCTCTCCCCTGGCCGTGCCGGGCATGGGATGGAACAGACCATCGGCCAGTTTGGTCTCAGTCCTAACCCCGAGGTGGAATCCTGGGCTGGTCAGAGTTCACCCTGTTCCAGCCCAAACTGGGACAGTCCCTGTGCCAGGCAAGCCCTGCTCCAGCGGCGGGACCGTGCTGGGCTCTGCGTGGCCCTGGGTGACCCTGGAACACAGGACACGGGGGTACGTGGAGCTTTCTGGGGCTGCTCTGCAGTCGCTGCAGCCCGGTGCTGATCCCGGCTGGGCTGAGACATCGGTGCAGCCCCGGGGATCCCCCAGGAAGGTTCCTCGTTCCTGTGCCGTTCCTGTGCAGGCTGCGAGGACACAGCCTGAGGGTCAGCGTCACTTACGCTGTCCTGAACCCCCTCGACCTCGTGCCCTGGCGCTGCAGCTAAAGAGCCAGCGACATGTCCCGGAGCCAGAGCTGGGTTCCCTTTCCCCGTGCCCTTCTCCGGGGTTCCTGGGCAGGCTGTGGCCGTGCTGGTGTGACTGGTTTGCTCTCCCGAGGGATGCTGCTCGCTGCTGTCAGGAGGGAGCTTGTGCCCTGCCCAGCAAACCTCAGCCCCAGGATGGGGAGATGCATTTATCAGCCACGTCCCGCAGCTCAAGGGAGCGATCCTGTGGGGGTACAGAAGGACTCTGAGCTGCTCACCGCAGCGTGCCGGGCGCCGGGTTGTGATGTGGCATGTGCCTGCAGGTGGACGCGGCTTTGGGTGCCGAAGAGATGGTGGAGACCCTGACGGAGAGAAACTTGGACCTGGAGGAGAAGGTCCGGGAGCTGCGCGAGACCGTTGGGGACCTGGTAAGACGGATTCCTCCAGAGCACAGGCAGGTGCTGCGGGGCTTGCCCCGCTTCCGTCGTGCCTGGTGTGCGGCCGGGCTGCGCGAGGGCTGGTCCGAGGCACCAGGAACTGCCGGCAGCGGTGCCGGAGGGGACCGGGGAACCTCTCTGTGGGCGTTGGGCACAGTGCTGCTCCGCAGCGGTGCACCCTCCTGCTCTGCAGAATGCGCCCCGTGCACCCCGGGGTGCTCCCCTGCTCTGTTCTGAAAATACCCTCCTGCCCGCGCTGGGCTGCGGTGTAACTGCGTCCCCCGGTCCTTCCTTGCCAGGAAGCCATGAACGAGATGAACGACGAGCTGCAGGAGAACGCCCGTGAGACAGAGCTGGAGCTGCGGGAGCAGCT